ACACTCAGTCAAACCACACTAATGAGTGGCTTAAAATTTCACACTCAAACCACTGATGCTAATGAGTGGCTTAACATTTCACACTCAGTCAAACCACTGATGCTAATGAGTGGCTTAAAATTTCACACTCAGTCAAACCACACTGATGATTGGCTTAAAATTTCACACTCAGTCAAACCACACTGATGAGTGGCTTAAAAATTTCACACTCAGTCAAACCACTGACTCAAGAGTTATTTATTTGTCTATTGCCTAAACAATGCAGCACACTGTTTCTAGTTGTCGTCAAAGCTATTTGGGTGAGCTTAATAATTAAATCAATACCAGTATGTTGTCTATTGATTGCTTCTCATACTTGTAATTCTGACTTCAGGTGTGTGGGGGAGGGGAGGAGAGGAATATATTTTGTTATTCATGGTACATTATTTTAAAACAAAAATGAATGAGGTGTATGTGATAATATTTATTAACTTACACTAGGGAAAGTAAAGGCAGTTGTGCGTAGTGCTGACCACACTATCCTTTCATATGCCGATGGTCACAGAAACAGGTGAACTCTGCTTCACTATCCCCCATAGACCGTCATTATGGTATTTTAAATTAATACTGCATGTCTAATATCCAAACTATGATTGGACATCATGTTAAAGAAGCTATGCTTTAATATTATCTAACTAAAGATATACAACTTTTGTCATCAAGGTTTAGTGGCCAAAGACTCAGGTATCAGACACTAGTGATAGACTTGTTAAGGCAGCATGCTAGCAAACAATGAATAAAACTACTATACATGGTGTGTTCAAAAAAGGATTTTAGCTTAAGAGGTGGAAAAAACTTTTTTTTAAGTCAGGCAACTAGTGCTAGCTGACTTGACAGCTTTTACATACAAGGAATATCATAGTCTAAACCAGTTACATTCTAATATTTAGCTGTTGTCAGGTTGGTTAATGGGCATAGTTTGAACCAGTGTGTAAAAAAACAAAACTTGGTTGAGAAAAGTTAATTAACCTTATTTTATTAAATATTCATGTAGATAATTGAATCTTTTTCAGCCTTACAATATTTTGTCCTCGTAATCCTTTTATACTTTTAAAATTTTAAAAAGGGATATTTGATGTAGAAAATGTCAAATAATCTTTGGAAAATCCAGTTTTTTATTTATGTGTTGTTGTTTTTTTAAAGTTTCTTTTATGTGAATCGACATTCACATAAAAAAAGCTATTAAAATGTAATCTGCTTTTATCTCAACTTGATTGTATTTTAATTAAAAATCTGTATCACTTGAGAATTCAAATCAACAAAATTGGATATTATAATATCTAAGGCATCTATTTCTGCAACTTGAAAAGTTTCCATGCACTATGTGCTTATAGGAATCAAATATTGTATACCACGATGAAAGAGTGGGTGATAAAATGGAAGTTTAAAATGTGTTTGGATGTAGTTTTTACGTTTTTATCTGTCAGAACTGAAACTTATTCTGTCAGTGTGATCCTAACATACTTTTCCACAAAAGGTTAAGAAATGGTAGTTAATGTATATGACTATCCTACCCTTATTTTGTTCATTGTTCAGTATTTGACTTGAATTATTTATGTAACAACTTGTCACATTCAATTTGAATGTTCTTACGTATTCGGTTTGTACTTCATGTGACATATTAAGTATATGCATTTATGTATTCCGCAAGGCATGTTAGTGAGTGTAATTAATTAATCAGAATTATGCTAATTAGTATTTAATTAAATAGTAAGCTTCATTAAAATTACATCACCCCATCCTCCCCTTAAGACAATGCATAGAGAGCTAAGTTACCACACCATGGCTAATTGCTAAACTAGGTGTGTCATACAAAAATCCCCTCTGTTACCCCCTACATTAAAACAATGTTGGGGAAAACATAATACTTAATTATCTATCAACTTGGTGTGTGTAATTGCTCTAGTTTTTTTTATGTATGGCTGTTTCAAATGTGATGACATGAAATCTGTAGAAAGCAAATTGTCAGTCTATGCTATACTGAACATAATAATGATGTTTGCTATTCTGAACACTCTATTCAACGCTTCATTGAACATCTCGCCATACTTGGTACCTGGTGTTTATAAGATGAATATTAACACTAAGATTAACTTCTTAGACAAGGGTAGACTTTTATATTTTTGATAAACAAAAGCAGTAAGGCATGAGAAAAGACAATTTTTGAGACATGCATAGTGTTAAATCAAGTTAGTAAGCCGACGAAGTTTTTTTTAAACAAAAAAATCGTAGTTTCAAAAATCTTCATCTTTTCAGTAAGCTACAAGTCAACCACTTAGGCTAATCTAACCCAGCAGCGCTATAGATTTATTTAGCCATTCTTAAAATTTTCCTTTGTTACACCCCAGACCACTCCAGGCAGTGGAATAATTATACCCCACTCCCTGCTCCACTCTTCCATATTTATCTATAAAATTAATTTGAAATCACTAAATGTATGCCTGATGGCAGGCTCCTCCCCCCCCCCCCCCCCCCCCCCCCTCCCTCCAGGATTATTGACTGGCGCTAGTCCCCATGCTTGTTTTACCATTGTCTGTTGCCCAGGCAGCAGCAGATAACCATTCCATTACCGTGGCAACTGCGTCAATACTTTGTGAGGGAGAGCTGCATAGGTTGGATGACAGTGCCAACAGCTATTACTTTTTGTCATTTTTTTGTTGTTCAGTCTTTATTTTCTCAGAGACAGTGGTTTGTGTTGTAGTTTATATAGAAAAATTAAAAATTGTTTGATTATTTTTTGGTATCAGACCAAATTATTTTGTGTTGTTGTTTCATAGTCAAGTGGTGACCTCAATCGGTTTACTGGCTTTGAAGTTGGTAGGTTGTTGTTTAGAGTTTAATGTAAACATCAGTGTCAAAGTTCACCAAGGAAGTCAACACATTGTGATGACATTTATTGTGTTATAATCAGTATTTCAATCTCACATCATGGGATTCTGTTGATATATACAACATTTAGATGTCATTGATTTATTGTGTTTTATCGGTATTCCAATCTCAATAGCCCATAGGCATTTAGATGGGATACTGTTGATAAATACAATTTAATGTAATTGATTTATTGTGTTGTAATATCAGTATTCCAATCTCAATAGCCTATAGGCATTTAGATGGGATACTGTTGATATATACAACATTTAGATGTCATTGATTTATTGTGTTTTATCAGTATTCCAATCTTGTTAAATGACCCATAGGTTTTACTTGTGATACTTTTGATTAATATAACATTTAGATGTCATTGTTGATAATTCTTAGCTATTGAATACTGATAGCTCTTTAAGATATAATGGAATACATTTAGCTTTTATATAAAAACTGACAAAACTCCTAAATTTAGCACAATTTAAAATACTTTTTACTGAGAGTTTTTTTTATTGTTTGTGGAAGGATGATAGTGTTTTATCTTGTTTTAACAATATTGAATCACTACTTTCTTTTTTTTTTAATAACCCACTGATCTATTTCTCTTTGTATCATTAAGTATTTTAACAGCAATGCCCATTGGATAGATCATTATTGTTGTCATGGTGCAAAATGTGGTTTGTCTATTTTGTTTCCTAGTTGCATTACACTTTATTTACATATTAAAATTAAAGCCAAAAAGAAAAAAAACACAATTTTTCAACTTTAAGTAGGGGCCTATTTGTTAAAAATGGTGTGTATTTAGAGCACTTTTCTGAATTTTTTTTCCATAACCCTTTGAGCCCGCCAGGCTGGTAGACCGGCTTCAACATTAGGCATATATGTCCGAAAAGCCGGTTTTCCGGCCCGATGATCTAGCGGCCGGTATACCGTCTAATTAAATATAATTAGCGGAAGACTGACTAAAACTGCGCATATGTCTTTTGAGTGCGGGATTAGGATTTTAAAAATTGATTTTTAGGAAAAGTGAAAGTGTTTACGAAAAGCTGAGCCACAGCAGTCGACTTCATCACATAAAGTTGGTGCAAAAGATGAAGCAAAAGACCGAAATATCAACAAAAAAAGTAGAATGACTGCATCTCAGGCAATACAACTACTTATTGAATCTGATGAAGAAGATAATATTCCTGGTCAATATTGTGATGATAGCGACGTTGAATTTGAGACTTAACACAGTGACATTGAAATTGACAGTGACAATGAAACTGTTCTTGTACGTTATGATGCACGTGGTGCCAAGGACAAAGACTTGCCGAAACGAAAAAAAAACTGTTACTGGAGCAAAAACATGCGAAGTTTTTCTTTGCATCAGGTCCGGCAGTGATAACTGTTTTGAAAGTTATCACACAAAAGTGGACTTCTGGTTATGAACTAGTATGGCCAGGTATCAATAATAACAAAACAATTACTAAATGTAAATTTTTTTCTTCTATGTTCTATCAAAACAATAATTACGTGTTCGTTTTATATACATTGTTCTGTTCATACATTGTAAACAAATAAAGAATTTTTGAATCTTTCTGCTTTGATGTTTGATCCTGAGTCTTGATACCAAATTTGGCTTGATTATCTCAAACGGTTCAAAAGTTATAGGCAAAGTTAGAAGCCGATAAGTAAAAATTGGTTTGGCCCTGGGAGCTCAGGAAATGGGAGAAATTAGGCCAGGGAGGCCAGGGCTCAAAGGGTTAAGGCTATGTTTCAGTTTATATATGTGATATAATGCTTTGACATTACATGTGTGTTTTGAATTTCTTTTAGTATTTTTTTTTATTATATTGTTAACATCAAATTTGTATAAAATCAACACAAATTTCACCATCATATTTTTATAGTTATGTTTTTGACAAAATAAAATACAATAATTTTAAACTTCTTTTGACAGTTTTCATTGTTCTGCTTTTTAAGCATATCTGTTCTTAAGCATATTGCTTCATCCACAAACCTTAAGCACATTCAACTGTCCTTAGTCTTAAAGACTTAATGAAAACTGGCCTGTTGTCCTACAGTTAAGTTTGACCATTGCTTCTCATCCTCAGAGAAAGAGGGGAAAGCACTCCAGCTGACCTACCAGACAAAGCTCAAGTTAGTGGCCTTAACCAAGCAGGCATCCTTTGGCAAGTTCCGACCTGACTGTTCACCAGATGTGGGTTTTCTAGACGTTGTGGGCAACGACAGGAAGTAAGTCTTTGTCATGCGCTAGCCGTGTTGTTGCCAACTCTCTTAGGGGCTGGGCCCAGATATTTAAGCCACATTATAGCTGGTCTTGGTAGAGGCTACGACTGCTAACTAAAAAATTTAGAGTTCAGATCCCAGGCTCGAGTGTTGGATTTCCCTGAGTCGACCCAGCTCTAATAAGTACCTGACTCATTTTAGCGGGTGGGCATAGTGCTGACCACACTATCCCTTAACATCCTGCTGTGCTTGAAACAGATGAACTCTACTTCATCTGCCCCGAGTGTCTCATGCATGAACGGGAAAAGAATGCTGTATTTCATAATCTGATCTGCTAATTAGACTTACAAATGCCAAATTTGGTGACAGTCTAAAAATTTGAAATTCTGATTTCTTGGGTGATTAGGTAGATTAGAAATGTCATGCGGCATTGATCTCTTTCATGTAAAGCAGGGATCTGCATCCTTGATTTAATATGAGCCATTTCATAACATATATTGCTATAAAAACAGGCATTTCTGTAGACTAAGTTTTATTTCATTTAAAACTCTTGTATTTGAAATGTTATAAACAAATGTTAGAAGTGCATGAGTACCAGTGTTTAGCCATAGATTGTTTGTGTTTTTTTTTAAGCTAAACCTAACAAAGCTGTAGTGATTTTAATAAGTGCCATATAGATACAGATTATTGACCATTACTGTAAGGTCAAAGTTTAACTATGCTGATATGATTATTATGTAGTCATATTCTCTTTAATGTAATCCATTCCTGTTAGTTTTTAGCGCAATTTCCATTCTGGAGAATTGCGTTTATTAACCCGTCATTTCTGGATGTATGAATGGATGGATGGATGGATGGATGGATGTGTGTCCGCAGCTTTAAGTCGCATCTCCTCCTCAACGAAGCAATATCGATGACTAGTTCCAAAAGCAATTATGTTAAGCAAGTTACGAGGATGAACATAGGCTATAAAAATTCCGGGTTTCTTTCATGGATTTCCCGGAAAAGCCAAAAAACCTCGAAAAAAAGCAGTTTTTTGCCCATATCTCGGCAACCAGACCACTTAGCGACTTGAAACATGTACCAATCGATTCCTGCCATAATTTAGAACAATATTGCCGAAGAAAGTTTTCAAAAATATCCTTTCGTTCGGTCACAAAAAAATTTTTGAATTAATTAAAATTTGGACCGAATTAGTAGGCATTTTTTCCAACCACACCACACGCGTCATCACGTTCAATAGCTGCACCATCACGTTCTATGGCTTCGTCATCACGTTCAGTAGCTAGGCGCGCAATGGTTTTTAGTCATGTAACTCTATTGTAAATAAAACATGTAAAATACTGAAATTTTTTTTTAATAAAAAACGTTTTAATAACTAACCAATGGTTTTACTAACCCTGCTCTTGATTTACGCTACGACAGAGCTATTTTTAAATAACATAAGGAAATTGCGCTAAAATTGTCACTAGACTTTTTAATTAACTTGTTTATCAATGATTCATTACGTGTCATCTTAAAATATGAAATGTAGCCAAATGGTGTGCCATAGTTTACAATGTCAACAATAAGTATCCCAAAACACAACCAATCGTCTTCCGGGTTGCCATAGAAAAATAAAAACGTGTGTAATTGAAGAGGTGAAAGAATCAATACAAGTCCTTTAGCTGTCATCTGTATCTACTGCTGGAGGTCTATGGTTTATTGATCTTGCTGCCATGTTCCGTCTGATGCCCTGTCAGATGTGTCCCTAGTTTGTTTGAGACGTTCTAATCCGGGGGTAGTTGTGGACACATTGTCGCTGCTGGTTGCTTGTGTGGGGAGAGAAGTGTTGGGGGTTGAGAGGAGAGACGGACATTGTTTATTTAAAGAGTGGTGGATATTATTCAATTTTGGGAGGTGGGAGTGGGCAGGAAAATTGGTGTGACGGAGTCGATTTTTTCTCCTTTTGTCTGCGGGTAGAATCTCCGTTTGTCTCCCCTTTTTTCCAGTGGCTGCATTCCCCTTTTTACAGTGACATTCCCCCTTATTTTACATTAGCTACATTCTTCCTATTTTTTTAACAGCTGCTACATTCCCCTTTTTACAGTGACTACACCCCCCCCCCCTCTTTTTACAGTGGCTCCATCCCCCAATTGGCTGCTACCTTCCCCGTTCGACATTATATACATTCCCCATTTTACATCGCCTACATTCCCCGTTTGACAATGAATACATTCCCTATTTTACAGTGACCTCATTCCCGTTTGGCATTCTACATTCCCTGTTTGACATTGTACATTCCTCTTTTCACATTAACTACCTTCCCTGTTTGTCATGATCTAAATTCCCCTTTTCACAACGACCACATTCCCCGTTTGGCATTCTACATTCCCTGTTTGACTTTGTACATTCCTCTTTTCACATTAACTACCTTCCCTGTTTGTCAGTCTATAAGATAAATCAATAAAACTTGTGATCCACTCCATTAAGAAGATACACCGTATAGGCCTATCCAGTGTCGTGGCAAGCCCGCATTTAAAGGCATCCTTTAAAATGAAGGAAAAACGTCCCTAAATAGCTCAGTATATTTAATGATGTTTGATATTTACGGCAAGCTCGACAGCCGCCAGCGACAGGGTGATTAATGCCGGCCTTGTTTATAAATCTAGAATCTTCTTACTGTTCTTGAAGCATCGATGTGAAGATTTTGTGTGCGATGGTTTGTGGGTGCTGAGGTTTTTTTGTATGTGTTATGGCGTAGGTGGCCGTGTAAGGGCTTGGGTTTTATTGTTTGGGCTGGGGTGTAGGAGTGTCATTGTTTATTTTATATTATGTTATGGCTGGGTTGTCATGTTTATGTTTGGGCTGGGGTGTCATGTTTATGTTTGGGCTGGGGTGTCATGTTTGGGCGGGTGTCATGTCAGTGTCGGGGTGGGGTCTCATGACAATGTTGGGGCTGGGGTGTTAGTGTTAGGGCTGGGGTGTCATATTACTGATGGGGTTGGAGCGTCAGGGTTACGACTGGCTGGGGTATCTGTTACCTACAAGGGCGTAGATGTTTGGTCCGTCGTATTGAAGCGATAAGTGTCGCTGCTAGAAAACAGAAAACTGGCATCAGAACACACACAAAATGTTGTTGTTATATTAAATTAATAGATAAAATATTCTTTTTCCATACTGTAGTGAATTAGTAAAGTTTAAACAGGCCTATAGACAACTAATTAGCTGGCTTTTCAAAGGTGGTTACAGGATCCGGACAAAAGGCCGACATAGACAAAGACCGACTGGCTATAAGGGCGACAACTCGATGGTTACTAATTAAATGTTACAAATAGCGAGAAAGCTTATAGTTTTATTCCGTCACACCAATATGTTTCATGATATGTCTTCTGTTCTCTTGTACATTTCCCCCCATATATAAGAATCCCACCCAGTAGATATTAGATTTAGCACACATTTTTTCAGTCATAAGAAAAAAATGTCAGAAAATAAAACTGTCTACTAAATCCAGCTATGCACTTGCAGTCGAGACTTTTGCTTCTTTCGGACATTTTTTTCTCGGAAATTATGTATTTCCTCTAGTTTGTTCTGAAAGGGGGAGGGGGGGGGGGGGGGGGGGGCTGGAAGAAATCCAGGCAAGACAACAAAAGACCTACGGAAATAAGTTAATGTAGACAAGCGCTGTATATATCTTTATATAGTAGTTTGTTAATTCCTTGCCATTTGTTTTTTTTTTACCTTTGGATTAATGCATGTCATTTTCTTTGGCCCCAGCATTGGAACCGACCCATCCCAGTGGTAAGCTGTCCTTTCATGTGTTGGCTGTGTCGTGTGTTAGTTTTTTTTTTCATTTTTTCCTGTGACGTCATGGCACGCTAGAAACAAAAAACGTATCGGTGTTGTGAGAAATGACGTAATAAATCGGATTCGCTGTGATGACACACTTTTTATTGGCTATTACATCGCAGTGTCGTAGGCCACACTTATGTAACAAATGTCAGTAATTCACACAATAAATCTCGCCCTTGAGAAAATGTAACCTAATTATCTTGTCAGTCCCGAGTCCATCTTTGTAATGTTTAGGGTTATGACCAGATTTTTCTTTATTTTTTAGTTAGGCCTGTTTATTTATTGAAGTTGTCGTGATGAGTAACGTTAGGGAAAGTAAAAGTTTTTGGGCATGGTGCTGACCACACTATCACTTCTTAAGCCTAGGTCACTTGCCTCGTGGACCGTCAGGTTCGAACGGGAATATTAATTGTGGTGTTGTTGTGTAATTTATTTTAGGGACGGAGTGGTCTAGCGGTAGAGAGCTGGACTGTAAACCCTTAAGTCTCGATTTCGAATCCGGGTTCAAGTCAGTAGTCCGCCCCTGAGTCCACCCAACACAGAAACAAGTGAACTCTACTTCACTTGCCCTATAGACCGCCAGGTTTGAAAAGGGAACTTTACTTTACCCCCTTTAACAATACGTCTCTGGTATCTTGATATCATGTAGTTGTGTTGATATCACACTAATTTATTTCCTCCTCTCCCCTCTCCCCCCGCCTATTGTCAGATTCATGCTGGTTCAACAGTCTCTTGTATCTTGATATCATGTTGTTGTGTTGACATCACACGCTGTTGTCGACTAAATACAAGACTTGTGAATTTTTTTGCCAGCAATTAAACGCCGGTTAAACTTTGTTTTTCTTATTGAATTTTGGCCTGTAGAACTCTGGGCAAGGGAGGCAATTTTGCGTGTTGGTAGTTATCTCCCCTAATCGAATAGAAAATTATGTTTACTACTTATCTCCGTGGATTCGGCGTATAAGTAAGCTTGTACTCGTCGTGTTGTACATGCATTGTATATGTCGTATTCTGTACATGTCGCATACCTGACGTCTCTACCTGCTCGATGTTGACACCTGCACCTGTACCTGCACACGTCTGTTGTTGTTTCCCCCCCCCCCCTCCCATGCACCAACACCTGTACAGCAACATGTTGCCTTTGCTTGTAAACCCAGCCAGGTCCCTACGTTGAC